GGCACATAACTAACTGACTGACGAGAATGTGGATTCACTACCTTATATTGAAGAAAAAGTCGGCGTGCATGTTCGCGAAGGCGAGGATATTCTTCCAAATTTCAATGGAGTCTTTCTTGCTGTCAAACAGAGTTTTCAGGATATTATCTTCAGACAACTCAATACGCTCCATTTGTAACTTCTCAGGAGACTAAGTGTGGCTGAAAAGCATGTTTCAGGGTGACGTTTTGCTTTTCAAAATAACTCAATCTTCTGCTGTATTCTTCTATTAATGAGTCTAAAACTGGCTGGTATTCCTGAAAAGATTCAAAAATATTCACTTTCACCCATTACTTTCGGCAAATAAGGAAAGTGTTCTTCTGAAAGTTTTCACTGAAAGAAATAACAACTTCCTTCTAAATGAAATAATTATTTGCCACATATCTTATATTGATTTATTTATGCCTTGTAACGAAATATTTAGCCCGTTTTAATTTGTCATCACATCACACACAAATGTAGTATCTCTGTGAAATTTTGTATCTGATAATTCACAAAACCTATTGTTTTCTTTGAAAAATCAATTATTTGCTCTCGTAGAGACAAAATTTTGACCAATACGTTTCCTTGCGTATTTTTAGAGGCGAATCTACACTCATTACCTCGTCATCTATTATCAACATGTTTCGAAACTGACGGTGCCTCATGGCATTTGCTCGTCTATAGTTCACAATACTAATATTCTTTTGTAATGTGTTATTTAAAATAGCAGATTTTGCACAGAGACGGTGCTGGTGCAGAATGCAATGAAAAGAAATCAGTACATTTCGAGCTGTGGCTTCTCTTTTTAGATGTGAAACGAATCCTTCATTTTTAACTATCATAGCTGGAGCGCTATCAGTACACATACTTGCCAATTTAGTAAGATTCAGCCGACCCTTATGACCCTTTGAAGTTATTAAAAAAAATATCTATTTTTCGTGTCTTTCCTTTAAGGATGTCTAAAGCAAGTAATTCTTCAAATAACTGAACATCGTCAGTTAATGCACGAATGAAATACAATACTTGTGCCGAATCAGTTTTTTATTATATTTTCGAGCTGTTCTGTTACATTATTGGCCAATTCATGCTGTCGACCTGTATTAATCCTTCTTGAAAGAGGGAGATTTTTATATTTAGTAACTTTATCTGGATCTAAACATTTAATGACTTCTACAATGCATTTCATTATGAGCTCTGTGTCGCTGAATGGCTGACCTTTTTTTCCAAGCAAATATGTAACTTTAAAGTCTGCTTCTGTTGCAGCATTTCCTGAATTTAATATAGAATAGAATAAATGTCTTTGCTTTTGCTTTCCATCCTTTAGTTTCTGCAGTGCAATTCTCCGAGGTTCACCCTCCATTTTAGCATATTCATTGTCTTTATGACCAGCATAATGTTGATGCGCATTGTATTTTTTTAAATGTTCAAATTGCAGTATCACAAAGCAAACAAGACATTTTGCTACAGTTAAACACTAAAAAATATTCCAATTCCCATTCATCATTGAAGATCCTATTTTCTTCTTTCAAAGTTCGTTTTAATTTGTTGGACATAATGTCGAGAAAATTTCACCCCCCCCCTCAAAAAAAAAAATCCTGTGACGGTGCAGGCCGGGGAAATGAGCAAAGGTGCTTACCTTAAGTTGCGAAAAAAATACCTACTTCCTCGGCGCAGCTTCTCCATCAGATATCTTGCGTAGGATATTTATTGTATATAAAATACAATTGTGGCACAAGGCCAAAATGGGGAGGGCTTGAGGCTGATCATCACTAAATATCTTGTAACTAGCTAATCTGATTCACGACCCATTCACACATTACAGTTTACACATTCACCATAAGAATTAGTCCATCACCAATCAATCCTCCATCCACCATAATACCGCATCCTCTCAAGGGGAAACCTACAAAACGCCCCCCCATGCCTTAAAAATTTAATGATAATAAATATATATATATATAAAATTCTAATAATGAAGAATGAAAGGGGAGGGAGATGAACCCAATAATAAAACTAAAACTCAACATAAAGTAAACTAAACATAACTGATGTTAATAGGGCCCGTTCAACCCTCAAAACGGAGAGGCCGCTGTATTCTGCCCATTGGACAAAATCAAGAGGCTCTCTCGCTAAGGGAGTGGGAAAGTGAAAATATAGATGAACATGGGGAAAATATAAAGCTGACCCAGTCGAGATAAAAAGGGAGCCAAAACAAACTGGGGAGGTCGGGAATCTCGACATGAATCATAACCAAAGAGGCGGCCGGGAACAGGCCAGAAACAACACTTACATTAACTACGTACACTGAAGCTTGTCTAACCTAACCAAGGGGAGGGGTCCACAGGAAACCACCCCGATGTGACGTAGGTTGACCTAAAAGAGAAAGTCAAGGTTAGCCCCATTCAAACGAACCAAGCTCGCCTCTTTCACCCACCTTTCGTTGAAGACTGTCGAATGCAAGCGTTTTCTATCAGTTCTAATCTTCATCTTAGGCTGATGCTCAAAGAATCGGATTAGATCCTGATGAGAAAGACGATTGCCTCGCAAGACTTCCTCCTGTCGTGTCATCCAAATCATCATTCGGGCCGTGGCCAGCAGCGTCAGAAACACCATCTTTTTCACCCCAGAATACGGGGGCGACACATTGTCACACGCGTATGCGCGATCAACGAGCACAAGCTTTTCGGGAGCGAGACGAGCCGTCAACTCGCCGACATGGCTCCAGAAGGGGCGGACTCGGGAACAATGGTAGAAGGCGTGCGAAGCCGTTTCTTCCAGACCAAGGCCACACCGTTCACAGTCTGTCGAATCCGCCAAGCCCCTTATGAAGACCTTGTCATTGAGAGGCAGCCGATTCCCAACCAATCGCCAGGTAAGCGAAAACTCAGGGTTACCGAGATAATCCGCCGCTGGCGCCCAAGACCAGAAAGAGCGAAACCCCTCCTCTGACAAGCCGAGCCGCTCATGTAGGGAATCCTTCGCGACCCCCTCCACTAAAAGACGATAGAAGACCTTCCTAGGCTGTGAAAGGTCACTGGACCGAGGAACAAGGCCGATCAACACTCGCGAAGTAAATCCGATTGATCCTGGGATTTACGAAGGCGCTCAACCCGCGAGATGGGGGACTGATGGTAAGGCGAGGGAACGCGTCCCTAACAATCCCCGCTATAATTGAATCTCCTCCTGTCAACGCGCGGCGTAGGAAAGCCAACCTCAAGGCACGTTTGTGGCTCTCCTAGCCCCCCATGACACGGGCGTTGTGCACAGACTCGTCTGTCTCACCCGATTACCGCGTCCCCTCCATAAAATATCTTGTGTAGTATAACAAAGGGTAAAAAAAGAGGAAAAAACATTTCCTTTATAACTACTTCAGTGATCATGTGATAAAAAGTCACGAGAAATAACTATAAAAAATTGGTCAAAAAAAGTTTTTAGTCGACCAGAACAACAACCCAGGCAGGTACCTTACTCCTCCCGTCTGACCCGTCAATTTTTCCGCAATAATGGGTTAAAATTAATAGAGAAATGATTTTATTCTGAAAAGATCAATAAATAAATATTAGCAAAAAGATAAATAAATATTAGCAAACACAAGAACTAGGCTTAAATATGCATTGTTGTTATTGAAAATCATGCTAATTATCTGCATCAGAGATCAGCATATATAATCAAAATTGATAAAGATACTGCGAGCAGTTAAAATATGCGGACATCGTCATTATTACAGTTGTATTATAGCCTCAAATAAGAAAGAAATTTTATGTTGAAAAGGGAATTTTGATGGCTTGCCTAGGGAAATATGGTTGTGAGAACCTGGCAACGCTACTCAAAAGCAGGGTTGTAGGACTGACATCTAAATCTTCAGCTCCAACTCCGGTTCCAACATTTTAAAATTTCAGGCTTCTGCTCCGGCTCCGGCTCCGGCTCAGGCTTCCAGCTCTAGCTAGTCACACAGTAATGATTGATATACATTACTGAAATTGGACCTTTTTTATTGCTATTCATAGGCTATAATAATATTCTAAATTTTGTTAAATTCTTATTATTGACTACAACATAATCAATAATTGATTATTGATAATAATATAAAGTTAGCAACACATTTTAGTACAATCCTTTGTTAACTATAGGTTCAATGTTTCAATGAAAATTCGAAAGAACAAATAATGTTCACAAAATATAAAGTTCGTTGTTAATTGAAGTGGTGTGAGATTAGTATTTGAAAGGACATAGATGAAAAGAGTCAATGTTGAAAATATTTACTTGCTCAGGTTGAGAAGTAGTAAGTAGACTGGTAGTAACAAGATAGCGTATAATTTTACCAAGGAGCGTTTTTCGCTGTTTGAAGGAAATGGAATTCGATTTATTTTACATATATTACAGCAGTCGTTCCTTCGATTAGAGTTCTTCTTGTGTAGTAGAAGTTTTTCTTTGTAAGTTGAATCGTAGAAATGAATTTATCATAAATGTTCTGAAAGGCCAACTGCTAAGTTAAGTTACATTTCCATCCTTCTAGTCCCAAGTCTTTCCATTTTATTTTTTAATCTTCTATCTGTTGTCAGCACTGTATATCTGTTTATATACCAGTTTATTTTCTCGCATTAGCTTGTGATTTTTTCTTTTCTTTTTCTCTAAATTCCCAAAAGCGATGCTTCTCAGTGGTTGAATATTTATTTCTAATATAGGCACGAGAATTTATTTCTTTGTTTCTCTAGTTTCCCCTAGGCGAGGCATCTCGTTGCTTGAATATTTACTTTACACGTAGTCGTGCATTTCTTTTCTTGAATTGGCGATATCGGTGACTATGGGAAGTTTTATTTTTTTTATTCTTTGCTCTCTACAATAGTCATAATTACAACACGAAAAAAAAAACGCTAATAAAAGATGGTTTAATTTTTGTGGTCTTCATTCTAGATAAAAAATAATTAAATTGTTTTCATACAGTATTTACAATTTTGTTTTTCTTTGCATAAAATATTTTATCGGGATTTTCTTACCAAGTAGAAAGAAAAAAGAAGAAAATGAAAACAACCAGCTGAAATTGTTAGTAAAGGGGAAAGAAAAAAGTCGTAACCAACAGACATGTCACTAACTAACGAAGACTGTTGTTACAAGCAGAATAATATTAGTGTGATGATATATATATCATTTTGCTAAGAAGATCTTAATGGTTCTAAAGTAAACAACAGAGAAGAAACCTTAGCCAACTCAAACCACACTGTTAACGTATTTTTGAACACAAGTAACACAAGCTCAGAATGATAAATTTAATTATTGCTGAGAAAAAAAAAGGAACATCTATTGTGAACTTTGAGATTAGGGAGCTGGAGCTAGTACATTTTTGCTGGCTTCTGTTCCGGTTCCAACTTTTCTAAATTAGCTGGTTCCATAGCCCATCTCAAAAGTTGCAGAAAGCCGCAAATAATGACCCAGAAGACCGCATGCGTTTCCCACCCCTGATCTACGGTAACGTTATGTGTAACATATAAAATATATATATATATATATATATATATATATATATATATATATATATGTGTGTGTGTGTGTGTGTGTGTGTGTGTGTGTTCATTCTGTAAAAAAGAATGATTGAGAAAATCCTGATATAAAATTATTTTTTTGCTATGTTGTTAAGAACAGCAAATTTTTCTTTTGCCGCATTTATTTGACTTCTGGTGACCGTTCTTAAAAAAACATAGTTTATCATGCCAGGCAAGAATTGGGAGTCGGGAGGGATTTCTAAGATTTTAACATTCAGCCTACTTGTAAAATCCTAAAACATATTTGAGACTTTGTATCCTTGTATCATTTTAGAACACAGATCCTGTAATTCTGTGTGTACATGTGTGGGTGTGTGCATGTGTGGGTGTGTACATGTATGTGCGTGTGTGTGTGTATGTGTTGGTATGACATGACGAAAAAGCGATATGAGACGAAAAGACGCCGAAAACATGTACAAAAAAAATTAATTTTATGGTAAGAAATCATTGTGAATATAAAAACTGTTTCCAATTTTTAGAACCGGAGATATTTGTCTTTGTTGCCGAGGGAAAAATAACTTGAAATATGACAACACAGTAAAAAAAAATTAAAAAATAAATAAAAATCTTTTAATATATTATTTCGTACAAACACAGTTTTAGTTGTTGTTGCCTAAAGGAAAAATAACTTCAAATATAAACAATACAATAAAAAAATATGTCGTTGTTGTTTTCGTAATATATTTCTTGCGACACGATACAATAAATGAAAGCATGGTTATTTACGCTCAGGGCACATAAAAGAGACCGCCTCTTCTCAAGCAAAAGCACAATTATATTTTGAAATTATCTACATATCTACATATAGATTTTTTATATAGGAAACTTCAATAAATATCAGTTATCATAAATTAATCTTAAAAACAAAAGTGTATTATTTTGTTTTTTCTTTTTTATTGTTTTTTTTTATGAAAATAAAAACTTTCCGAAACAGAAACTCTGATCTGAAAATGAAATGAATGTGATGATAGCAGTCAGTTAGTTGTTACGTGATACACGCTTAGGCGATCATGTATCTTTCGATATATGACTGACGAGGCAGATTTTTTTCCCGCAGTAGTTTGCTATTTCTTTCTACGGTAGACCAGTTGCCATACAAGGCTATAGGTCTATCCTGCTACTTACCTATAGCTAGGGGGAGGAAAAAAGAGGATTCATACCTTTTCCAAGAGTATCAAGATAATGTAATGGATTCGAATGGAATTCGAACTGGGCTCTCCGATTCCTCAATCCGAGCCGCTTATAGCACATAATGTTATAATAATATCTATACCGTTGCTGTTGTTGTTGTTGTTGTTGTTATTGTAATAATAACAGCAGTATGGTTATTAAAATGCTTATAGTTTTTATTATAAGAATATGTGCTATCATAATAATAATAAGTGTTATTATTATTAAAGTTAAGAAAAGAACGCTATTTAAGAAAAGAAAAAACAGTGTTTGACAATGTTAAACAATATTTTATCAGAATGTCTTTCTTCTTTCAGTTATATTTTTTAAATTTCAAATATAAAAATATATACATCTACAAAAAATGATAAGTCTTTGTAGAAACGTTGCTTGTCTACTGATTAAATACAGTAATTGTGGCACAAGGCCGAAAAATAGGGGGTTGTGTCAAGGCTGGTTGACACTTTTATACCCAGCTAATAAGATTTACGATCCATTCATTCGTTACAATTTACTCACCATAAGAATCTATCCGTCACCATTCGCTCCTACATACACCAAAATACCTCACACACACACTGGGCCCCTACAGGAAAACACCCTATGACGTTTTTTGTCTTGTAATGAAAAAACGGCTCTCCTGGTAACGAACGCCTCAAAACGAATGAAACGCCGCGAAGGCATGAAACTGAAACGTGATCAATATGATGGCGATATTGTTCATCGTGGACTATTCCGTTAGTTGATTAGTTACTAAGTGAAATCAATCAAACAGCTTAGTATAAATCTTATGGAACTCTCCTGTCATTCTGTTCATTCCCCCGGAACAGGAAGTTAGCAATTTGCATACGTCACTATTCTCATGCGTTGTAAGGGTCAATAGGTTGGTAGATTCTGAATATTTTTTCATAATGTGCACCATAAGCTGCTTCGATTCATAATCTACCGTATTCATAATAATGTCCATTCATAATCTAAAATATTCAGAATCGATATACGACCATTTTCTAAGATCAATAATTAAAACGGAGTTCGAACAAATGAATCCACTTAAAGAAGACTGAATGGTGCTACAGAATCCGAAAGAACTTCACAATATAATAACAAAAATCACATCACTCGAAGACGTTCAACAGCAGCAACAATTAAAATGGATTTTTCTCTCCAGAACCTATCTTACATATTTATAAGTCTGCCATTCGTCTGTACTTGCTCCCACAGATCGTCTGCTGTCCCTGCTATATATTTAGAGATACTTGATAAAATGCAAAGGAGAATCTGCAATGCTATTTGTTCTGACATGGCATCCCGGCTTCAGTTACTTTCCCACTTCCTTAATGTAGTTTCCCTGTGCCTATAAATGCTTTCATGGCATTTGGTCTGCTGAACTTTCCTCTATGCTACCTAGACTTTATGAATGTAAGCGCAGTACTAGATTGGCAACAAGGTCTCATCAATTTACAATTGAATTGGCTAGATGCAAACGTAAGTTCTATTCTAACAGTTTCTTTTCTCGCACTTCTCGCTTGTGAAAGTCTCTTCCGGTTCTATGCTTTCCAGCCAACTTTGATCTTCAAAAATTGAAATGCAATGTTAATCGTTATTTGCTGTCTTCCTAAGTACAATTCTTTTATTCTTCTTGCTACTTAATAATGTTTTTCTTGTTTTTTTATTCTTTCACACTCAGTAACCTCTTGTGTCTTAGTAGCTTTATTGCCTTGCTTGGGGTTAAATGATTTTTTTTTAAATAAAAAATAAATGCACATGTAACTAGAAAGGAAAATAATAAAATAACCAAGATGCTGATATTCGGATGCTACCTTAAACACAAGGCTAGGAAGAAAACATCGATCACTATTAGAAAGAGCAATAACAGTTAATGGACTTGAGAAGCCTATTTTATTGAAAACCTTGTTTCAGAAAAAGATTTTATATATTTCTACTGAATGTAATGCTAACCGTTCGTTCAGTAAATCCCAAAGTTTTCTGTATGGGAACGGCTAATTCGGACATTTTTTTTTTCTTCTATGTGCAGTGTCTCTTCAGGATGTTGGCGATTATGCCTTCTTGTTCTTTGTAGTCGTTAGTAAATTTTGCCCTAATCCTTGTTTCGCCAACAATTTACACACGCTCGTTAAGTAGGTTATGCACTACTTTCCGCTGTCCATTTTTCTTACATTATGTCCGATGAGTGTCACATTCTCCAAGCCGTCTTTCCTCGTTTTGTGCCCGAGAAATTTCAACTGACTCTTTCTGATTTGAAGTATAAGAGTCATTTTCGTTCAGGCCATAGTATTCTTAACATCCTTCTGTAGAACCATATTCCTATATTGATTCATCTGTGAGAAGATTGTCCAACATTCAATGCCATTATAGGGGGACCGATATTACGTAACAGTTCAGTACTCTTTTCTTTTTCTTTGTTTCTAACGAAATTTTCCTGTTTCTTAAAACTTTACTTAGCTTTTGAAAGACAACTGTTACTATTCCAATGCGTCTTCGGATTTCGGTGTCACATTTTTCCTTCCTATGTTAAAATACTTCCTAAATTCTTAGTAATAATGTCTGACCTGATTACATGGTTGCGGATCAAATAAAATTATTTTTACCAACAACTAATCAGAGCGCCATACATAATAGACCTGATTTAAACCACACCAAAAATACTATAAATAAAAGCTCAAAAAGCAAAAAAAAAAAATGAAAATCCAAAGATATTTATATAAAGATCTATAATTCCTGCAAGTTGGAAAAATCTTAGATTCATTATACCAGGTTAAGTCATTTTTTCGCATTTTCACTGATGATTTTTGGCAACGTGTAGATAGCAGAAAAAAAATTATTAACCATGCGAATTCTCGTCCTCTACAACAATTTACTATATAGAATTTTTTTGTTACTGTTAGTTCACCCGTGATAAACTATGTTTTTTAAGAACGGTCACCAGAAGTCAAATGCGGCAAAAGAAAACTTTGCTGTTCTAAACAACATACCAAAAAATAATTTTATATCAGGATTTTCTTCAATCATTCTTTTTACAGAATGAGTATACACACAAACACACACACACATATATACATACATACATATAGATAGATAGATAGATAGATAGATAGAAAAGTCGCAAAAGTCAAACATTGTTTCGCATTTTCACTGATGATTTTTGACAACGTGTAGATAGCAGAGAAAAAAAACTTATTAACCATGCAAATTGTCTTCGTCTACAACAATTGACTAAAAGAAATGTTTTTTGTTACTGTTAGTTCAGCCAAAAGAAGGTCCAAAGGCTAACCAAGGTAGGGATTTTTCAGTTCGCCCACGTCGCAATCAAATATGACACAAGATCGCGGTTTAAAGTTGGTTTACCGGAATTACCGAGAAAAATTGCTCACTCTCCCTCGGCATTTCTCCTATTGGGGGCACCCCAGGTGTCAGGTAATGGACTTCAAACAATGTGTACTCTCTAGGAAATCGGGCCTCCTGCGGCTTGAACTAATATTATTTTCAACTTGCCCGGTAGAAGCGAAGTCTTATGCCGTGTAATTATAGGTGAGGCGCACACAAGATAGTAGGTTACTGAGTGAGAGTGTAAGAGGGGAAGGGGGAATTGAGAAGTTCATATTATGAAGATATGTAGGATAGATATCGGTTAAACCTGGACTTCATCAAGATTGTAGATGTCAGGGAAGCATCTTTTCTCGAGAGTAACAGTTTGGAGATGAAGCTAAGATCTTGCACCTTATCAAAGGTACACGAAGGATATGGGGTTGATTAATATGACATGGTGGGTACTAGCCGTGAAGGTCTGATCTGGTGGAACTAAGGAATATAAGTTTTTCTGAAAATTTGCTATAGTAATAGCGATAGAATAATGAGAGGCTACCAACTTCATTTCTTATATAATCTTCTGTAAGATGTTTTGTTAATATAGGGATTAATCGTTGTTTGTTTAAATTTCCTGTTTTTTCTTATTTTTATCAGGACTCATATGAGTCCGCCAAATATTGTTCGCGTGACAAATGCACCAGGTGGCATAAAATTAATAACTTCCATTTTCGCAACACATGTAATGTTTACGCTAGTGTCTAGATTACAATCACTTAAACTATGTAGCAAAATGATTGTAAGGGAATTGAAAAACAAACAATTAACCGTGAATATGTCATGGTGGGTCCTAGTTGTAAAAGGCACTAAGTAATTCGTCCAAACATTTGCTATATTTATATCGATATAGTAGTAAAAGGCTGACGACGTTTAGTCTGTGGAATAAGGGTTGCTTTTGGACTCTACTAGGGATGGACAGTGAGGATTGGTTAACAGCAGCTCAGATACATTTTTAATCAGTTCGCCCCAAGCAATGCCACTAAGATGCGTGGTGGGAGTGAAAGCGAATGAAAAAATTTAGAAGGAGCCGGAACTCTATTACTAAACAGGAAATAACGGATAAACATCTACTGTTCAAAAGACTGGGGAAGTATGTTGCTAGGGTTGATTTTATTTAGCGGCATAGCCACCTCTATAGGTTATTTAATACCGAAATCAAATATTTTGTACGTAATTTTATAAGGATGAACAACATAAAACGTATTTTGTTAAAAAGAATGAATTTTATATTTATATATATATATATATATATATATATATATATATATATATATAATATAATGAATTGCTGGTAATTTTACTATAAAATGCATTTATATATATATATATATATATATATATATATATATATATATATATATATATGATGTATTGCTGGTAATTTTACTATAAAATGCATTTATATATATATATATATATATATATATATATATATATATATATATATATATATATATATATATATATATATATATATATGATGTATTGCTGGTAATTTTACTATAAAATGCATTTATATATATATATATATATATATATATATATATATATATATATATATTTTTTTATAACGTTGTTATTTTGTTACAAGTATTTAAGCAAATGTTGTCATTTTGTCTTTAATAAAAAATTGTCGGATTGTCCATTTCTTAACATATATATATATATATTGTGTTGATTGTCATTTTGCTATCGGTCATTCGGTCATTTTACTATAAAAATGCACAGTTTATTTTTGTTTGAAGGGTTCACTATTTACCCATCGCTGGGACTCTAACAGTTGCAATCACCGTGAGTCAGGATGAACCTGAGAACAACAGCAATTAAGAGGTGGTTCCACGCTCCTAAAAAAAAACTCAAATCACCCGATCAGTGGCCTTGCTGCCGGATGTAGTTTATCGTCATACCCAATTTAAATGGAGGAGTGTGAACCGGACGATATGGCAGCAATACACCATTGTTAGTCTAATTTGACCCTTATCAAGGAGTTAGGAACAGGAATCAGGTATTATCTGAAGCGATAATGGAACCGAAAATTCTTCTGGTATCTTTTCAATATACACGTTCCATTTGAGAAATAATACTTTGTAACGATGAATGAATAGAATTTTTAGTGACATACATAATAAACTCAATTTCGACCAAAACATAAATAATATTAACTTATTTTACTGTAACCAGATGCGACCTAATTACTTAAAAAAGATGATAAAAATAAGCAATAATAAAAATATAATCCATAGATATATAATTCCTGTCGATAGTAAAAGATTCAACGTCCTGGGTACAACGGTAAACTACATCCGGCAGCAAGGACACTGATTAAGAGGTTTTGAGAAGCGTGGAACCGCCTCTGAATTGCTGCTGTTCCCAGGTCTACGCTGAACCGGGGTGGTAGCACCTGTTAAGGTCCCAGCTATGGGCAAATAGTTAACACCAAAACTGAGATCAAAATACTATGAAAGCATAAAAATACATTTTTCATAGTAAAATTACCAGCAATACAATTTGGAAAAAAAAAATTACCAGTAATACATTTTTTGTAAAAGAAATTACTAGTGCTTCGAAGAAAATCAAATTTCGGCATTAAATAACCCAAAAGGAGTTAATGTGCCGCTAAACTAACAAACAAACAAAAAGAGACTAAGTATATGCTACAAAAGAGATTAGTACCTTTTTCCTATTTCTTAATACTTTGCTTTGCTTTTGGAAGGCATCTTTCTCTATTCCAATACGCCTTCAGATTTTGGTGTCATATTTTCCGTTCTCAGTTTATTGATTGACTGATTTGTTTTCTACGGCTTATCAACTTCTTGCAGGTTATTTAAAGCCAGAAAAGAGTTTTAGATTGTAATAATTTTTTTAGATAATAATGGTTTTAGTGATACAAGTCTTACTACTTAATCCATAGCTGACAGAAGAATATGAGGATTCATACATTTCCCAAAGGTATTTGTGCATAAATCAATCCAACAGGAATTAGAACCCGGCTCTCTGATTAAAAATTCCAAGCCTTTATCTATTACACCACCTACAGATTACAACACCTAGTATTCCCCAGCGGCCACCCGTCTAGGTACTGACCAGGCTGGACGTTTCTTAACTTCGGTGATTGTACGGGACGGGAATTGGTGTTTCAACGTGATATGGCCGTAAGAACCGTGATTAAATAAGTACTATTTAGAACATTCGTTGCGGGCCACACTGGGTGGTCACGCCGGCAGTATTATGTGCAGGCCTGCTATATTTAATGAATACAATCATTCGTTTTTTGTCTCCACCAAAATTGGGGAAAGATTTTGTGAGATCGATTATATCGGACTTTGTATATACACTGTACTTCATGCCAAGACTTTGCATTTAAAAGAATAGAAATAAAAAACTATAGTTTTTTTTTAACTGATAAAAAAAACATATATCTAAGAGAAATTTTATAATTTTATAAAAATTCCTCACTTTGAAATATTTTGGTTCTACTTGAGATTACATTTTCTTTCTATCGGACTGGTCCTTATGCAAACTGAAAAAAATGATCTTATTCGTGCTACAGGTGCGTCCAGAATTAAATTGGAATAGTCGCCAAAGAGTGCGAGTGACGTAGGGCTGAGTTCATGCTTGAGGAAATGGCGTTCGCGTCACTTCACAAAAAGGCGATTTTTTTAAAAAAAACACACGCTTTGTCTATTCAGGATAGACGATCATGACACTCCTTAAATCATTATCTGTGAATTACCATGCGTTCTTCGAAAATATAGTGAAGTTGTTGCCTGTCACATTCCACACGATTTGAAATTCAGTTTTCTACCTTCAGATTCTGTGCCAGAAGTCCATGTGAAAGTTCTCTAAGTTAGTAGAAGGCTTATAGTGAGTCGGGGAAGTGAAAAATTACCCATTCCTACTTCAATTGTTTGTGGCTATATATATATATATATACACACCCACACAACTTTCGTCAAAGACGACTACGAAAAACTTATTATTTAACTTTTCTTGTGTTCATAAAAGTGATTTCTTTTCTGGACACAAAGTGTGTAAAAACTGTCAAAAAGTTCTGCACTTCTGTGCGCTTTCATCTATTCTTTTAGCCATTATCAAGAACGATTTTTATTTTTAACTGAATGTGTGGGTTTTTATGCATATACCTGAAGTTATAGGAATGTTTTTATTTTCCAAACACGACCAGCACGTTGTAGCCTTGTTCATAATTAATGCAATTGAGTGTTGGCTTTTCCGTTATTATCAGTGCTTCCATTATTTTTAATCCTTTTTGCAAGTGGATGAGGCTACAATACGTGTATTTTCTACTAGCATGTTTCGGATGCTGTTTGGTAACTTTCCGTGTGTGTTTAAATGAGTCCTAATAGATAGATGTAAGGTGAGTCGTCTAGATAGGCATGTAGTGGTATGACTAATATAATTATTTATGAGCCTGATCAGGAACACAGTTCCTTAAGGAGTATGTGAACTCAATATATATATATATATATATATATATATATATATATATATATATATATAGTGTGTGAGAGAGAGAGAGAGAGAGAGAGAGAATGCATGTTGACATAGAAATCATCTCTGCATGGTGGCTCAGTTTCACATCAATCTTCAGACCATATATCAGTAGTCCATGTTCAAGCTCACTAAATAAGTTACTAGGGGGCTTTGAGGCAGTGGGGAAGTAGGAAACCAGCCCTATTTACTTCAGTTACTTATGACTAATGCTTTATGTTCCTTCAACTATTTATTTTAATTTTTCATTAATGCACTTATTTCATTCATATGTCACTCCTCCTTGCTTAGTGATCCAAAGTCTGAAAACAGCTTGAGGCGTGAAACCGACAGTCACCATGCAGTCCACACTGTCTATATCTACAAACGCTCTATCTCCTATATTGAGCACTCTTTCTTCATAAATATAACAAATTTTACACAATGTATGCGTGTGTGTGTGTGAGAGAGAGAGAGAGAGATAGAAAGAGAGAGAGAGAAGTGTATATGTATATTAGGGTAAGTTGATTTTACTCTTTTCTCCCCAAATCAACTTTGTACAAGTTGGATAGTTGGAACTTAATGAGATAAAAACTCACACCAAATTAAATCCTAGCTTTAAATTCCTTTTGATGAAATGCCATCAAAAATCAACATTGAAAATGTATTTAAAATGCCACTCATTTTGGCAATAATTGACTGAAAAATGTTATTATTTCAACAGTAAATAAAAAAAGCTTGCTATTTTAATAAATAAATTTTATGTTACATGAAAACTAGTCCAATCCAAATATTTATATAATCATATCATCAAATTTTTCAGTGTAAGAGTCTTTAGAAACAAAGAAAGGTCTTAGTTGACGACATAAAGTTTTTGCAAGAATGTGTCTATGTCTTGCTTAAAATCCGTAAACAATATGAGAAGCTTCAGGTGTTAATTTCACTGCTCTTTCAAAAGAATTAAAATTACTGAGAATGTGAACGAAAATCAGACAACTTTAATTTTGTGTTATTTATAAGAGATGCTTGAATTTCATATTCTGAAGATTTTTCAGTGGTTGCATGTTCGCAAATTCTATTTTGAGAAAGATTAATTCTTACCAATATTATCAATAGGGCTAATGATTTTCATAAATTCTACTTGTGGCAAATCATGATAGTTCCTTTCATACAATTTACCTAGTGGGCCTGTAAAAGCAGTCGAGTTTCTTGTTATACCATCAACCTATTTAAAAACAGTACTGAATGGTAGTTCATTCTGATGTAATGAACAGCCAATTGTATGTCATTCTCAGTGGAGCTTCTTCTCCAGAGCACTTAAAAGGCCTGCCTTACATCCAGTATTTGTATTTGTGTTGTCCAGAAGGCTGTCTATACAATCAAATTCTTTGAAAACGCTAAAAGTTTCTTCTGTTAGTTGGAACCATTCTTCTTATGTAATTGGAACCATTCTATGAATCAGGTATATTTCAGTCTCAGTTTCTATCTCTTGAGTAAATCCTAAAAGATGTTCTGGACCCCTTTCTTTTTTTAGTTTAATGTCACCACTTTTCCCTTCTTTATCCAACAAAGTTTCTTTATTAATCTTGCCGTCAACTCCAGACAAGGTTTTTAATATCTTCAGTGTCTTTCGTTTGTCATTACATTTATTTTAGCCTTTTCTCGGTCTATTTTGACTTATCAATTATAATAGCCTTTTCTCGGTCTATTTTGACCAATCAATTATAATAGCCTTTTCTCGGTCAATTTTGACTTATCAATTATAATAGCCTTTTCTCGGTCTATTTTGACTTATTAATTATAATAGCCTTTTCTCGGTCTATTTTGACTTATCAATTATAATGTTTAAAAAACTCAAAACCAGGGTTTAAAAAAACCCACAGCCTGTAAATCTATGAGACAGTCATTAGCAAGAGATGCTCCAAGATTAGAGGAAACATCTCTCATATACTGTGTTTTTCATCAGACATTTTAATAAAACGTTTGAAAAATATTACTCTAGGAAATAATAATAAATTAAACTATACTGTCAATATATATTTTACGTCAAAAATTTTCAGTTAATATCTTTTTGTACTTTTTATTTCTTAAAAGCTTCCTATGTAAATAAAAACAAAACGCATGCTGATGTAACGATGTAAAGGCAAATAATCACCCATGAAATTTAATTCGGCTAATTAAAAATAAAAGTTAAACCGATGTTTATTTGTTTTTTAGTTTTCTCAGAAATAAAACTATCACTTAAAATAAAATAGGGCATGTTTATGGTTTATGAATGATATTACTGAATTCATTGCGAAAAAAAATTTGTTCGGAAAGGAAAATAAACTAAAAAAATCATTTTTAATTGATCTTAACATAACCTGCAATTTGAATGCATCTATAATGCCTTTTGTAACTGCACGTATATAATTTATTTAAAGTAAAATTTATAAAGCATGTTATTTCTTATAACAATTATATGTGTACTATTTTATATGTTTATCTTTTCTAGTATTTTAAAGAAATATTAAACCTCAGTTTTAAATTGATTTACACATTCACTTTATTTTTTAGGATGGAATAATCCAGCCTGGTTATTTATTTCAGTTAACACCGCAACAATCTCCGAGATATTAATTTGATTTTAATTGCATTTCCTCAAATAGGATCTAAATTTTAACGTAAATTATTTTGTCTGTTGTCTTATGATATCATGTCCCAACTGTCTATTCCAGTCCAAGAGTCTGGTTTAAAAATCGACCTACCCTAATGTATATACATTAAACTATGTATCTATCTACATGCGTGTGGAGTTAGATAATTGGTTGATTGATTTGGGATCATTTTACGGTTTATCAACCATTTGAGGAGGGGTCTATTTAAAGCGAAAACATATTTGGGGATTGTTTGGGATAAAGAACAAATAGGAAACATCTATTAATTAAACATGCTTCACTTTTATTAAAGCTTCATCAACAAATGAGATGTGGAGAAAAAATCTGGTATTTTTTTATTTTTTGTTGTCTGATACTCATTGGTTAAGCAGGCTTTATGTGCATTTGACTTCTTAAGCAGCGTTAGTAAAATGTATGGCGATATGAACTCAAAGAGAGATAATGCGCCCTTTCTAAGGCCCAAAAACTAACGGATTCTAAGCCTAACTGAAAAAACGTAAATATTGTTTAATATATGTAAGTGTATGGAATATATTTGGGATTGTTAGAATAATTCTTTTGTTTTTGTTTTTTTTTTTGTTTTTTTTTGCAAGTGAATATTACATATTTTTTTTTTGAGAATAGCAATGATTTTTCAAAATATAAGTCCTACTCTTTAATCCAGAGCCGGAATAGGAATTGTATTCTTACTTTTGCCAAATGCATAAGTGAATGTAACGAATCTGATTGAAATTCGAACTCGGTTGTCCGATTTTTTATTAGTAGCCACAATCAATTACATTACACGCACACCCGTGTGGTCAAAGGAACCAGTCTCTGAAATCAATAAAGATTCTGGAATCAATAAAATTATTTTAAAGGGCTTCTGTGGAGACACGGATAAATATGTTAATAAGGTTTTCAATCGCGTTCATTTAATTCTATAGCCATATGACTAAAACATTTTTTAAATCTCATTACGGACAAGAAAGAAACAACATTTTTTTTAATGATTTGGATGATAATGATAGTGACTATTTCGGGCTACCAATGAATTATAAAACCGCCTCCAAATCTATTTTCAAGTATTCAACTCTTGCCTCACTCATTTTTTTTTAAACGGCAACTACATCGCCGCTTCCCCCACAACACGACGACGACGACTGCAGAAAGTTGGCTCGAAACTGATCCGACTATGATTTTCATGTTCATTACTATTCGGATTTCAGGCTGAACATCTCAAGGACAAACATTTTATTTTTTTTTTTTTTGATCATATCATCCCATACAAGGCAGTGAAGTCACTAAGACACAAGGGGTTACTGAATGTGGAAGTATGAGATAGAAAGAGAAAAATTATTAAGGGGCGAGAACAATAAAAGTGTAATCAGGAAGACAGTAGATAACGATTGACATTGCATTTGAATTTTTGAAGATCAAAGTTAGTTTGAAAGCATGAAGCCAGAAGAGAGTTCCACAAGCGGGAAGTGCGAGAAAAGAAACTGTTAGAATAGAGTTTACGGTTACATCGAGCCAGTTAAATTATGAATTGGTGAAACCTTGACACCAATCAAGTATTGCGCTTAAATTCATAAATTCTGGGTACCATAGCGAAGAGTTCATCAGAATAATTATCATGAAAGTATTTCTAGAAATGACATAGGGCAACTACATTACGCCAGTAGGAAAGCGACTGAAACCGAAGCGCCATGGCAAATTTGCTGATTCTTCTTTGGATTTTATCAAGAATTTCTAAATATACAGAGGTAACAATTGACCATATGTAGGAGCAATATCCAAAGCGTGGACGAATGGTAGATTTATAAATATGTGACATGGGGAGAAAAATTGTTTAGCCCAACGCCAATTCAATATAGTCACAGACGTTCCCGTACACATGTTTAGAGGATAGTATATCCTGTGTGTTGCGATTTTTATTATTTGTGGGCTTTTGTATTTTTCTTCTGTGGATTTTGTAGGCTTTGCGTTTAGCATTGTACAGAAAATAATTCGTGTATTGGAAAATTATAGACGTGTTTTCAATATATCTCTCTTTTCCGGGAAGAAACTGGGGGTTACGGATTCTACCGGCTCTTAAATAAAGACCTATGATTACTCCGGATTTGATTTTATTGTTGTGATGGGGAAGTAGTGTGTTATTATTTGTGGAATTTTGGTAGACCTCGGTCTTATACTTAAGTACAATCTGTAGCCCAAAATCCCTACCCGAGGAAGAAAATACTTTCAAATTTCTCCAATACCCGAATTATTTCCGGTACAATGGCAAATACAAAGCCTACAAATGCCATGTGTGTACGTTTAAACACTTTCGCATTCCGTGATAGATATGACGAAAGAAATTGCAGAGACTGACACTTATCGACGCGAACTAAACGCTTACAGAGACTAAACAATGGATGCGAGCACAGTTAGCCGATGAGTAATGTGTTTCAGCGATTTTTTTGACAGGCTACATTCCATGCGGATCAGTCCACGAAATGAAGTGTTCTTGTTCATCGCTTTCGGAAATATATATCCAGTGGTGGTGACTATGGGAAGAAATACTGTTTTGTTCCTGTAAAACTGCTCTCTTTAATGGTGTCATTGTGTATTTGTTGTAGTATCCATGGGAATAAATAGAACACATTATTTTCGAAGCGTTCATGATAGATAGATAGATAGATAGATAGATAGATAGATAGATAGATGTGAAAAGAAATGTTAATGATAATGGTTATATTAGCCGTTTCCTTGTAAGGAGACTTTCAACATCTATTGACTAAGCAAAGTTACTTTCGTTTTAAATTCATAAAATCCTTCTATTAAAACAATTATTCAGGAAAACAGATTTTTCAAATCTACTGTTGTCCTCTTTCCAGCAATGAGGTAGGTTTTTCTTCCTAACCTTTTGTTTGAAGTTGTGTGGAACGTCAGCATATAGATTATATTATTATATTAGGTTGGTGCAAAAAATAATGTCGTTTTTTTTACGTTAAGTTGAACGTCAAAAACGACATTATTTTTGCACCAACCTAATACTTTCTTTGTGTTACATGTGCTATTCATTTTCGTTGCTGTTTCCGTTGAAAGTCCTCAAGCGATATGGTTTCTTTTATTTGGTACAGTATCTTGTGATTATGTAGCGCCAGTCCACGGGGCGCAATGAAGAATAGTATAAAACATTATTTTAACTTACAACGTTGGCTCATTTGTTGTATTGAGGGATGATTGTATTCCTTCCTGATCTTGTTGTTTTTGTAATCGGAGAAACCAAGTAGTAGTTCTTCCAACTCTTTGTATGTTGCATAGACCAATCATTGTCGTTCCTTAGCGTGTGAATAATTAGGATCTATATTATGTTTGTAAATATTCTATATTTTCAGGGGCTTGCTCACCGCTTTCTGCCTCTCTATTTGTTCTGTTGCTTCCTGCTGCTGTAAGGATTTACCCTCTACAGTAAAATTGTTTTTAATAGTTAAACTATTACACTACGAAAGCACACTACAAGCCATAAGCCGCAGTGTGTAAGGCAACAAGTTGCAATACCCTGAAGATTAAGAAAAGGTAAAAGTTTGCAATTTTCCCTTCTTTATAGCACTGGTGACCTGTCTTGTAAGGCTAGTTTATTTATTTATTTGGTTTGTGTTATCCGTGGTAATTTGAATATCGCTACAATGATCCTGACTAAAAGCTACAGAAGGTTGACCCTTGAATAAGGGATACAATATTATTTATGTTGTTTGCTTTATTTCTGAGTTAGTCATTTTAGTTAGTTGTTTTAATTTAACAAGAGAATGTAAGGTCATTTATACAATAAATATTAGTAGTATTAGGAATTGTGTACCACTCCATAACCAATGACCTAGCGCAAACGAAGGGTGTGATTTTTTGTCTCCACTTAATTAAACAAAACATAATGCTAACGATAACTAACAAAAAAATAAATGGGGAAAAACTCTTCGGAAGATACGGTTGTGTTTGTTAGACCCATTTTGGAGATTTCCTGGAGAGATAGTGCATCAGGGATTTTGTTGATTTGTTCCTTTCTTTATCGGACCCAAAGCTCCGATAAGGTGATATGATTAAAAAAAAATGACAGGATAAATTATTATCTTAATATATATTCTGTTTATACGTTATTTTTATGGATACAACTTATTTAATGCTCTGTTTTTAATTAAACAGTATTAATTACATTTACCAGGCTGAATGTTCGAGAAATTTCGTAGAAAATATGCGTTTACCGATATGTTGTCACTGCAGAAATGAATTATCGAGAAAAATCATCGGAGACGTATGTTTATAAGCAGTAATTTGGACTAAACGGAAAGTTCTCTGTGGCTGAATGGTTAAACAGGACATCAGGCGATATGATGGTTTCTCTATGGGATACAGGTTCGGTTCCTGTTGAAAAACACATATTTTTTACAAAATTTCTCGGATATTCAGACTGGTAAATGTAATTATTACTGTTTAATTAATTAAGAAACAGAGCATTTACTCAAATAAGTTGTATCCATAAAAAAGTATAAATAGAAAATATATTAAAATATTTGTCGGATTTCATCCATTTAGTCTAATATCAATTATAGATTTCTATAGATCGATATCAGATAAATATTAATTTATCTAGTAAAGAATCATCTTCTTGCTTCGACTCATAATCTGTGTTTAAATGCAAATTATAAATGAAGCGTGACATTTGTTTTCTGGCATGGTTGTTGCAATAATTGCTACACTTCGAATCCTTCAAACACTTCGAATCTTTTCCCTGCGTAAAGATGATCACTTACTGCGCTTATTGACTTAATGACGACCACTTTTCAAGAATTAACGCGCCATGAATGATTGTAATTATTTTCGAGATAAAAGCAAATCCTAATGAATTTAAATGGTAGAAACACTTGCAAAACTGGAGATTATCTCCTACAGAACGTCAAATTTAATGAAGCGTTTAAATAAATAAATAAATAAATAAATAAATACGCAATTTAACTTCTCTAATGTAAATGAATAAATTACATCAATATTAATAGCCATTCTTTAATTCATTTTTTGAACTGAACGTCTACAAGGCAAACAGGAAAGGCATTTCTTAAAATCTCTCTCCGTTATCCAAATATCGTGGGATATGGCACATTTGTGTAAGATGTTTCTTTTTTTTTTTATTTGATGTTAACATTTTGATTTGTTGATTTTAGTTGTAGCATATTGGAAAATTTTATTCGTTTTTTTTATCTAGTTTTTATAATATTCTTACATTTTTTCCCGTTTGGTTGGAGTAAGGGAATGTAAAAATTGTCGCTCGTGTCCCAAGCACTTTCGGCCACTTCGTTAGCCATTTTTTCATATATATATATATATATATATATATATATATATATATATCTGTTTATACGTTACGTTATTTTATAGATAATATTTATTTATTTATTTAGCTTTGTTTTTTAATTAAACAGTATTAATTACACTTACCGGCCTGAATGTTCGAGAAAATTCGTAGAAAATATGCGTTCTCTGACAGGAATAGTACCTGGAACCCTGGGAACCGTCATATAGACTGACATGCTATTACCATTCAGCTACGTAAAAGCGTCTGGGTAGAGAAAGAAAGAGAAGGAAATAAATAGAATAAAGTAGATAGATAGATAGATAGATAGATAGATAGATAGATAGATAGATACTTTTATTTTGCGTTGTAGGATTGTATTTATGTAAGTATGTGCATATTTATTTGTACAGGCCTATGTATGTCACCTGCGTGCGGGTGGGTATGAGTGATGTGCAACGGAAAATTTCAAAGAATTTTAAAAGATGAATCAATCTGTTCATCTGTCAAATTAAAGAGCGTTTACATTGTTCGTTCGGACAATTTACATCTGGCCGGAAATCGCTTGACAAGGAAATACAGTGTCTCATTTTTCTATCAGTTTCTTTTTCTTTCTTCGAGGAAGCTATTTCACACTATCCATATATATATATAAGTCCTCTGCTACTTAACACTTTCCATACAAAGCTCGGTTATATATATATATATATATATATATATATATATATATATATATATATATATATATATATATATATATATATATAAATTAGGCATGGATTTTTATTTATTAATCCGACAGACTTTATTACTTAAAACATATAAAGCACTATTCAATTTGATCGTCGACGCACTCCGTGGCTGTCGATCTAAAGGACGTTGGATCTAAAAAAGGTTTTGAAATTCGTTAAAGCGTTATAAAATAATTGATTATAATATTATAGGCAACGATAATAAAATTAACAAGTCTTAACACACAAATTTAAATCATCACCACAAGAACGCAAGTTTCATAACACTCTAACGGTCAGCCGTTATTTTGCACCTGAAGATTGCACGTTTGCATGAAACTCGAGTCGTGCTATCGACGTTGGATATTATGTATATTCATTATATATATATATATATATATATATATATATATATATATATATATATATATTACTCATCATTATGTGTGTGTGTTTGTTTGTTTGTGTTTGTGTTGAGAAATGTATCACTGAGTTCTCTTACTGGGTGAAATCCGAAATCGAAGCTTTATTTCCAACACGAAAATCCCAAGTGAAACCACGATCTTCTTGGTTCTCACCTGTCTGTTCAGCCGCTATTGCCCACAGGAATGACAAAGCGACAGGTCCGATTATAACAGGCGTCTATTTGTCATTGCTCGTAACGAGTGTAAGCGTGTCTTCAAAGAAGCACAGTCACTCGATGCTGAAAGAATGAGACGCCGTTTAACCTCTCACATGTTTGGTTCTGCAAGAGTATGCGGAACAATAGCAAATCCTCAATAGCTCCTCTCTTCAATTAATTGGAAGTATTCACATCTACTGCAGAAAAAGCAGAGTTGCTTTGCTCGGAAGTTCTCTTCCACCTCGACTCTCGGTTCATCTAGAGTATCGCTGCCAAATTTTCCCCTCTAGAATGGAGACTCTACTGAGTGATATGCGCATAACTTCATTCTTGGTTTCTGTTAACATTTTAAAACTAGATCCCCAACAAGGTATCCTTGCAGGTGTCCTAAATGTCTCCTGTTCTCTCCAAATTTTGCAACAAATGCCTCGCTTCTTCTTGCCTTCCACTTCTATAGGAAGTCTTCCTCTGTAGTGCCTGTTTTTAAGAATATCTGGTAAGCATCTGACTCCTCATATTATGACGCTATTATTCTCTTACCACGTTTTGGCAGCGTCCTCGAGATTCTAATCAACACTGAATTCGTTAAACATCTTACTTCGCACGACCTCCTTTCAGATAAGAAATATGGCTTCTGTTTCGCCAGGTCTAACGCTGACATTTTAACAGCCGTTACTGAATTTATTTAACAAGCTTTGGCGAAGTTCAAGCTATTACTTCAGATATCTGAAATGCGTTCGACAGGTTTGGACATGCTGGCTTTCTCTGGAAGCTCAAAAGCAATGGTATCAAGGGATGAATATTTGGCTTAATCCAATCGTTTCTAACAAATTGTTTAATTAAAACCGTGTTGAACAGACACGCTCACAGATCATTTCATACTAACGCGGGGTGCTCCAGGGCTCTATCCTTCGACCTACACTGTCTCGGATCTTTATCAATTAACTCCCCGATGTCATCAGCTCCCAACTAGGTATTTATGCAGCTGACACAACCATTTATTTCTCCCGTCTTAATAACAAATCCAATAGACCTGACAAAATAAAACTAGGAACTGCTCTCAGAAAGGACCTTGAATCAGTTGTTAAATAGAGCAAGAAATGGCTTGTGAATTTTAACGCCCCCAAAACAAAACTGCTTTCATTTAATCACCACAGAGAACATTTTCTGTCTGCCATCAACATGGTTTATCATAGACTTCAGGAGTGCAAAACTCTACGCTTTCGTTGGTTCAGGCTTTCAAATGACGTGAAACGACTACAGTGAATCAGTTGTTACGTCTACTACAAGGAAAGTGGGTTCACTGTGACGTGCCAGAAAATGTTTTCTCGACTGAATATATCTTGCACATTTATAAATCTACCATTCGTCCGTGTATCGAATAATGTTGCCAGATCTGGTTTGGTGCTCCTGCTGTATACCTCAAGATTCTTTACAAAATCCAAAACAGGATCTGTAATGCCATCGATCCCAATGAGGCATCTCGACTTCAGTCAATTTTTCACCGATGTGATGGAGCTACCTTCTGCCGTTTCTACAAATATTTTCATGTCAATTGCTCTAATGAACTTTTTTTTCTATTGATGCTTTGATTACATGAATTTAGTCGTGTTACTAGATTGACAACTAAGTCTCACCGTTTTACTGTTGAACTAGATAGATGCAACCGCCATTTCTATTTTAACAGGGTTTTTTTCCCGCGCTTCTGGACTGACTTGCTACCCTGGCACTTAAGATCTCCAAAAAATTAAATGCAAGCACCATCTTCTGTTATCCTGAACCATGTATTGTCCTTTCCTCACTTCTCCTCATTAAAGTCTTCTCATTCTTTTTCACTTCCTATAAATATCTGCATCCTAATGGCATTTTTATATATATATCCTCAGATGAATGAATTCTTTCAATATATATATATATATATATATATATATATATAAAGGGACGCTTTCTCTGTAGCTAAATGGTATAGTACGTCAGGCTATGTGACGGTTCCGTGTAGAATATAGGTCTGATTCCTGTCGGAGGACACATATTTTCTATGAAATTTCTCGAACATTCAGGCCGGTAAATGTTGTTAATACAGAGCATTTACTTAAATATTTGTGTCTATATAAATATAGTATAACCCTAAAATATATTAAAATAATTGTTTGACTTAGTCCATTTCATAATATATGAGGTCATTTGTTTACGTTAAGATACGCTTCGAGCAGATATGAGCGTTCGAGGGAAATCATGAGTAATTTGTAGTTTAAAAATTGTGAATTTGCCATGCTAACCAGACGCTTCCTCTGTAGCTAAATGGTATAGCACGTCAGCATATGTATGTATATATATATATATATATATATATATATATATATATATATATGAGGCAGAGAGGACGGGCGTTTTTGAAAAATGCACAAAATAGCTTCAAAATGATTTTATTGACATGAATATGTTCGTATTGAATTAGCATTTGACAAAATCAAGTTTTGCAAACAATATCCCTCATGCCGTGTCCGTTTTCATTGATGCATTTCTGAAGGCGTTCTTGCAAGTTGATCTCCTATCTTTCCAGCATTGTTCTAACGATTTAGGTGTCTTCCACGCAAATAACTTGCTCCAATTCGTTCACTGTAGGGGGTTTATGCTCATACACACATGCCTTGAGGTTTCACCACAAGAAATAATCACACATGGGCAAATCAGCTTCATCACGTATTAAATGATGTTGCCATTTGCCTGCAAAGTTAAGCTGCTGTGCATAGTCCCCTGGTCTCAACTGTTGCCCAATGACCAATTTGTAGGGGTGGAAATGCAGTACTTCATGCAAAATACGCCTTATTATGCCAAGTTCAGTGGCATGCCTTCGAGCAGAGCCTTTCGGACTGCGCAGCAATGTCTGTTTGAACATTTGATCAGTTTTTACACACTCTGCGTGCAGAAAAAAACACTACGCAACGAACGCAAGGAAAAGGCTTAATCGCAGTACCTTGTCTGTCGTCTTCAATGAAATATGTATAAATGAGGGATTGCTTCCTAAATACACAATGCTAGATTTAGCTGCTTAACTCGGCCGAATGAAGATGGCTCAGTGGTAGAAACTGACTAACACCAAATCGGTTGGGTTTCAATCCTGGCTTGATGCATTCGTATGGTTAGTCGCACTGAGAAATTATGATACAGCGAAACAGTACTGTCTGCGAATAATATATATATATATATATATATATATATATATATATATATATATATATATATATATATGGGAGGCACTAAAACGAACCAAAATATTGTTCTACCCACCAACTGTATCACAACTAAAATTGAAAATAATTTATCTTTGTTATGTGGCATCCGTCAAAGAGTTATGCTGATGACAGCGCAGTATTTTTTATGGCTGTACAGGCCCACACTGGAGTGACAGTCTCACTTGCAACGAATGAATGTGAAGACGCTATCCCTCGATGTCGACTTGTTTTGTTTCCTTCGAAGCCACTTCTCCTCGTCGGCAAGCCTCCGCTTCTTCTATCTTCGCTCCAGCCCTCGGTGTAAATCGCATCTTCAGCGTAAGCGATCGTTGGCGACGTCTTCTCACCTCTCGATGTCCACGTTCATATGCCTAATGTTTCTTTTGCAGACGTCCTTGAAGCGAAGACTTAGTCGCCTTCTTAATGATGTCTAGTTCCCCGTACAGAATGACCTACGGAATCCTCCTATCAGTAGACTGTTGCTTCCTGTGTTTTGCCGTCACGGTGAGGCGATGCTGGAGTGCCCTCTCCATTGCACAGGCCTAGGCATACAGCACCTCCCCTCTCCACACCACCGATGTTATCCTATACAGCTTGGTCTTTGTCACAGGAGTTGCCAGAGCGAAGTCGGACATAATATCGGTCTGTCTAAGACACTCCGTTTCCAGATTTGTCCTCAAGGTTTACTCCCGAAGCCATTCACATGATAGGGTATAGCCACAAGGCAGTGGGAGCTTAGTCAGAGTTTTCCTTCTCTTAGATGGATTTACCTTCCGGGTTGACGAGTTTCATCTACCCGAAGTATATATATATATATATATATATATATATATATATATATTGTGTGTGTATTTAGGCAGCCTTTTTTCATTCATACATGTTTCATTAAATAATATAGACAAGTGTTGTCTATTTATTTTATGTAAATTCTTTTCATAACTTAAAGACATTAGTTCCATTTCATCCCTGAGGATGAAATGGAACTAATGCCTTTAATTTAATTACAGAATTAAATTCGAAGCTTTTAGCTTCCATTTTTTGAAACATGGTTAGGACTGTGTTGCGAAAAAACAAAATATATATATATATATATATATATATATATATATATATATATATATATATATATGTACACGCATAAACATATATTTTATACTGAATGTCGGAGTAAACTGTTCGTTATCAAATGTAACACTTTCAGAATTATTTTATATATATATATATATATATATATATATATATATATATATATATATATATTAAATGATAATAATATAAATAAATAAGAAAAGAATAAAAGTATTAAATTATCAAATATATGAGATCATTTTTGTTTAAAATATTTGAAAAATATATAAAATAAGAAATTCTGAATGAATAGTAAAAGTAGCAAACAAAACAAAATAATTTATCTCGTCTTAAAATAAAAATTGCTTAAACTTCTTACAAAATAATAAAAGATTTAATTAATACAAAACAAAATAATAAGTTACAATTTTAAAGAGGAATTTACCTGTAATAATTGCCACAAGTAATACATAGGAGAAACCTCAAGGAATTTAAATAAAGGTATGTTATACAAAACAACTCTAAATGCATTGCTCGCCATAACCAGAGTATAGCCATAATTTTTGTTTTAAAAATTCTAATTAAATTTTAATTTAATTAAAAGAGAAATCAATTAACTAATATGAAAGTGTTTAGAAGGTGCTTTAAACGCTTGATCATCCACAGGAAATTTGCGTCCAGGTTCTTATAACATTTCACCATCGTCTATTATCACAATGCGGGATATTTAATAACAAAAGTAATGTAAATATAAACCAAAAAGAAAAAGAATCTAAATGAAATCGGCTCGACTATATACCCAAAATATATATTTAATTTTTTTATTTAAATTTAAAATTCCCGTTTTCTTTTTCTTTCATGCGCATGCGTAGTTACATCAACATAAACATCACTTTAGTTCGATGAAATCCTAAAGGGCGAAACACGTCAAAAAGAGGTTTATTTTTACTTTGTCATAGATTTCCTGACAAGCGAAAGATAGTTATTCTAGTTTGCTTGTCGTCCGGTTCACACTCCTCCTTAGTCTTTAGAAAAAGAGTAGAGGTTTATCCATTGTTTTCTGTTTATGATTGAGTTTCCATTTCCCTCTCTAAATTCTTTTCCTTCTCTTTCACCTCCAGTGGCTCCCTTGCGTCTTGGTAGCATTGGTTGCTTTTTTGGTGGTGCCTCTTACTCTGTAACCCTCTACCTCCTCAAGGTAAGCATCATTGTAAAATAAATAGTTTTTAAGAATTTGCAATAAGTTTACTTTAAGCTATGTAAATGTCGCTAAGAGATATCACGAGTAAAAAAAATATTGAGCGGGCGAATTCCGTCTAAGGGTCGGGTGAGTATACTTTCATTAGCCTCGGGGTCACCAAAGGTCATAATCTGGAACTGTATCGTTAACGTTTCGATAGACGTCATTGGCTATACTTCCCTTTCCCTATACACACTACCCCCACCCCTTTTATAATATAAAAAATGGGGGGGGGAGCCTGATTGTGAACTCCGAGTAGTGCTTTGTGGTCATCACTATATTTCATTTTTTTTCTTTCTACATTTATACGTTACGAATTAAACTAAGATAAGAACAACTATTTAAAACATGAAAAATTCTGGATTTTTTTAATTTTATCCAAATCCATCGATTTCTTTTGCTAAGTCTCGAAAAGACACTATATAAAATTCACTATTGTTTTTATCCACAGTATTAAATTATTCAACTTTTTAACAAAAAAAAGCTCAAGTTGATGTAAAAAAAAATAGCCGCAAAAAATTATTGCTTCAGTTAAAATGGAATGTATGACGTCTCTAATTTGTATTCAGATACATTGTATTTATTTTCAGTTTTTCTAGAATTATTCACCAATATTGCATATGATCCATTATTGTACATAATTAGGTTAAAATAAAATGTATCTTTCATATGAATACTACCATATGAAAAATGAGATGTAATAGAGTGTGGAAGGTGTATATCATAGATTGCACCGGATCTTCGTCTCAAAACGAAATGTATCACTATTCCGTTTTGTTATTTATTTGCTAACATATGTATGCTGATTTTCTATGAGTAGCGTAGATGTGGCACAAGGCCGATAGTATTGAACACCCAGTGAGGATTGAATTCACTACTCAGTCGAAACTGATCAAGACATATGTACGGAGAAAGAGAGAATTATATTTCCTTCCAATCTACAATTTCCTTGTAGTTCTGTCGGTGGGACGACGTTGGATATAACGACGGCTTTAACGATGTGTAGAACAATATATTTTGATTCGTTTTTATTTAGCATCACACCCTGTGTGTGTGTGTGTGTGTGTGTGTGTGTGTGTGTGTGTGTGTGTGTGTGTGTGTGTGTGTGTGTAACAAAGTATGCATATAGACAGGTGTATATCTTTGTATATTTGCAAGCGTATTTAGTGGAGATACAACCTCCAATAATTGGGTTTGAAGATCACGAGTGAAAAACCAACAACAAACGAAAAATAAGCAATAGGCTAAAACTAAAATCAACAAAAAGGCATCAAATAAAATAATAAAAACACCATAAACAAATGTGCCATACCCCACGATGTTTGTATAATGGAGAGAGATTTTAAGAAATCTCTCTCTCTCTCTCTCTCTCTCTCTCTCTCTCTCTCTCTCAGTGCGTGCGCATGTGTGTGCGCACGTGCGTATTGAGATCAAATATGGATTCGAATCCGAAGGAATGATAGGATAAAGAACAATAGGAAACGTTTATAAATTTGACATGTTTTGTAAAATCCATTCTTGTATGTGCATACAATAAATATGAAGCAGACGGATGAATTAATTCTTCCAATATATATGTGTGTGCGTGTGTGTGTGAATAAAGAAAAAAGGAAAAGTTATCTTAGCCGACGTGTTTCATCCTCTGAGGGACTTTATCAAGGCAAATGTAACAAATGTATGTCGGACTTAGTCCATTTCATAATATATGACATTGAATACAAATATAAAATTCGTCACTCAGCTGATTTGCCTTCAACAACCCGGCTCTAGGGTTTCATCGATGAACCCTCCAGCAATCACTCTGTCTACTCATCAGTGGATATCGGAGGTGTGTGTGTGTGTGTGTTTGTGTGTGTGTTTTCATTTGATTTCTAGCCTACCATTGTTTACCGGTCCCATGGTATAATAAATAATGAATAAAAGAGTTGACTCAGTGGAATTGATCAACACACGTACAATACTAATAATTAGAATGACGAAGAATGGATTGAGAGAAAAACCTAAGAATAACAAACAGTAAGTTAAATAAAATGACTTTACCTATCATTATTCTAAATTTACCTTCAATTAGAAGTTGTATTTAACCTAATTATAATTAATGGTGGTAAGAACCCGGACGTAAATTTACTGTGGGAGATTAAGAAATCAGTGCACTTTCTATACTTTTTTCGTCTTTCGTAATTAATTTTTTTTAAAATCTCTTTTAATTAAAACAAAAAGTAACTTAGTAAGGTGAAACTATATAGTGCAGTGATTCCTAAATTAACCATAGTTATCTTAGGTTAATTTAGAAACTAGTGTACTATATATTTTCGTAGTAACAATAGTTAAATTATGGTGATTCGAGTATTCAATGAGGCCTGAGATGTACTTGTCAAAATATTCTGGTGATATTGCATCATTATTTTAGTTAATTTGGCTTATTCTGTTTCGTAAATTATTCAATTGTCTACCTCCAGTTACATTCACCTACGCGATAATACACCTGGGGAATCTATGGAACCATCTCCTCCCAGGCCTTACGGCTACATCACATGGAAACACTGGTTCCCGTACGATCACCGAAGTTCAGCAACGTCGAGCCTGGTCAGTGCTTCGACCGCTTGGGAATTACTAGATGCTGTAAGCTTGGATGTGCAGGTGGTGTAAACACGGAATTCTTAGTCGGGAAGCCGAGATCCAATTCCAGTTGGGTTCGTTATATCCACTTGTACGCAAATACCCTTGTGAAATATATGAATACATCCCACCACCACAGCTCTAGGTTAAAAATAGTGGGACTAGTATCTGGAAAAAAATCATTGTTCTCAAAAAAAAAAAAAAAGAAATAAGTTGTTAATGCAATATTCAGTCGCAAAAAAAAGAATTAATTTTACAATGCAAAATGTTTCTGATTTAAATAATCTGCTAAATAATCTGTTTAAATAAAACAAAAACCTAACCACAAAAAGACACCAAAATAAATGAATACTTATAATTGATAATCGATAATGCTTTGGCAGATTTAACCGAGAAATAAAAGAAAATAATTTATATTTCAGACATTTTCTTTTCTATTCACAATGTGTGGAATGTTATTTTCTGCGTGTGGTGAGGATATTTTGTTTTTCATTATAGACGAAGGATTTCTGAAAAGTTCTCGGACAACCCACTTTCCAAAATCTAACCAAATCACCAAACATTTAGATTTTTTTTTAAATTTCACTTTGGTCAGACCCAAAACTTTTCGATGCTGTTCGTACGGGAAACCACTCCATTATATTTCCCAAGAATATATGGCAACTCACAGATAATAATAAAAAGTAATCTGTGGAGAACCATGATCGTCTACGACCCGAAGGAACATAGCACATAAAAATAAAAGACTAAAACCATTTTAACTTCTGAATATCATTTCTTTTAATTCGCCTAATACTTTTTTTTAGAAAAGTTCAGTCACTGCGTCGTGCCAGAAATTTTTTTGTCGACAGTGGCCATCTTGCAAATCTACCATTCGTCCGTTCATTGAATATTCCTGCCATATCTGGTCTGGCGCTCCTGCTATTCATCTCGAGGTTCTTGACAAAATCCAAAGAAGGATCTGCAATATAATCGATCCTGAATATTTAGAGAATCCGACAACGCTGAAATTATATACACTATTTCACTCATTTCATTAACGATAAGCAAAGGCGAGCTGACAATACGCTTTCTTTGGATTATTACACAATATAGTATTGCCTATCATGTGACAGTGTTGGGAACCTACGTTTGTCATTATAGAAAAGAAAAAATAATCTGTTTTTTACATTAAAATACATTTAGCAAATCCGGTAAGATGATTTACAATTCCTTGACAGAGTTACTGCCCTTGGATTTAATCAATAGTTGATTTGTGCCGAAAAATACTGTGTAGTTTGTCCATCAACCAAACAGGAGTCGACAAACTACGGTCTACTGCTAAAACTGGTCCAGCATAATATTTCATCCGGCGTACCGACCATAAAGTATATGCTATTATTTTTAAATAGTATTTTTTTATTATTATTATTGATTTTCTGATATTATAATGCAGGAGTAATTTTTTTAAATTTTGTATGTTTCTAAAATATCAAAGAATGAACGAACAAGAAATATATACAATAATATATTTCTTATTACTTATACTAATTTAGTTAAATTTAGTGGATACTACACGAGTTTCAGTCGATATCCTTGTTTTGTTTTTGTTTTGCTTTGTTTTTGTTTTTGTTTTTGTTTTTTGGAGAATTTTTTGTTTGTTTGTTTGTTTTTTAAGTGTAAATTTAGAGAGTCTAAATAAAAAAAAATACTTCTTCTAGGAGAGTTCGAACATCCATCCCCTTATAATGGAAATCACCTTTAAACTTAAACTGCTGCGCAAAGAAAAGCTTTACCAGTCAAATAAAGTTCAAGTACCCTATTTAAGAAATGCACATCTCTTGTTCAGATACCTCGAAGCTCATACCTTCTAACTTTATTTTCGAGTCTGAAACGTAAAAAAAAATAATTTATAAACCAGTTTTTTCCCTCATTGAGCTGTTAGAGCTAGGTCTGATGAGTGACCAGCTGCCAGGTTCTCGTCATCTAAATTTGACATCGCACGCATAGACTATGGTATCATCTGCTGTTAATTGTATTTTTAACATTAACATATTTTTTTAATCCAAGCACAAAAATCCAAATCAAACGGTGAATTTAGGGGCAAACAAAATATTTTTCAAGTGGTTTCATGGAGTAAACGAAACAAAATATTTGTCACAGAAATTTATCAGTGAAAACGAGGCAACTCTTTAAAAATATGGCAAGAGTTTTTTCCCTTGGTATTTATGAAACAAAACCTTAATATAGAAACAATAGTTACAAAAAGCAGGCCATTAACTTATGCTGTAAAGATTCCACGTAAATTGTCACATCATGAAAGGGACGGTAGGCAAGCAGAAACAAGCGTGACAGAAATTTCCGACTTTAAAATCTTTTTGTTGGAACTTCGGTTTATAATAAATATCATCAATCTTATTGACATTTATTGGTATTATTTTGTTGTCTATTATTGTGTATTATTTTATCCTTCAAATTTCATTAACCGGCCTAGAATATATGTATAACCAGCAAAGAATATATGTATATATTTGTATGTGAACATTTACACGTACATTAATTTATATTT